AAAAAAAAAAAAAATCAGCCTGGTATGGTGGGACACACCTGTAATCCCAGCTACTCAGGAGGCTGAGGTGAGGATTGCCTGAGACCAGGAGGTCAAGGCTGCAATGAGCCAAGCTCGTGCCACTGCACTCCAGCCTGGGTCACAGAGTGAGATTCCAACTCAAAAAATGATAATAGGCCAGGCGTATTGGCTCATGCTTAATAATCCCAGCACTTTGGGAAGCCAAGGCGAGAGGACTGCCTGAGCCCGCGGGGTTTGAGACCCACCTGGATAACTTGGCTAGACCTCGTCTCCTACAATAAATAAAAAAATCAGCCGGGCGTGATAGTGTGTGCCTGTAATTCTGGCTACTTGGAAGGCTGAGGTTAGAAGGATCGCCAGAGCCCAGCAGGTCGAGGCTGCAGTGACCAGGGCCACCGCAGCCTGGGTGACAGTGAGATGCCAACTCAAAATAATAATAATAAGCCGGGCTCGGTGGCTCAGCCTGTAATCCCGCACTTTGGGAGGCTGAGGTGAGTGGATGGCCTGAGCCCGCGGGTTCGAGACCCACCTGGGCAGCAAGACCTCATCTCTATAATAAATCAATAATCAGCCGGGCGTGGTAGCGCGTGCCTGTAGTTCCAGCTACTCGGAAGGCTGAGGCGGAAGGATCGCCGGAGCCCGGCGGGTCGAGGCTGTGGTGGCCGGGAGCGGCCACTGCCCTCCAGTCTGGGCGACAGAGGGAGACTCCGACTCAAACAAAAAAAAGAAAAGAAAGAGTGTCTCCAAGCCTTTGTCACCTGGATCAATAGAGTCGGTGGTCCTGACCAGGGCCCATGCTCCTCCCAGCCAGAGCTCCCCTGCCACTGAGGACACGCCCCGTACCACTCCCCTGCCCGCCTCCTGGACCCCAGCCACACACTCACAATATCCAGGTGGGGAAACTGAGGCCCTGCAGGTTCCGCCCTTTGTAAGTTGGGGGATCTGAATGCCCACTGCTCCCTCAACCAGCTGCAGTAAGCACGCAGCGTGGCTGCAGGCCATCAGGGTCTCTTTCGTGGTAGCCGCCGAGGGAGGGGCTGACGTTTTCCCACAATGCCCAGCGTCCTCTCTGCGACAGTCCAAGCTCTTCTCACAGGCCGCAGGGCACCCTCTGACCCCGGCTGACCTCTCATTCCACAGGTGCCGCCATTTTCCCCGCTCCCTTCCCACCAGTCAGATGCTGTTACCCCTGGGCCTTTGCACGTGCCGGGCCCCCTGCGTGGTGCTCCGTCCCAGGCCCTCTTGGGGCTGGGGTCCTCAGCTCAGACGCCATCTCCTGAGCCACACCCTGCACCCCCAGACTTCCTCCCCGCCTCCAAGTCACTTTGGTGACACGGGCTCATCTCCGGTGATCAGAGCCCGTCCTTCCCGGGGTGGGGGACCATTTCCCCAGCGGGCTACAAGCACTGGGAGGGCAGGGACTTGGGTCTGTGTGGGTCACCGCTGTGTCTCCAGCATCCAGGGCACAGCCCGGCACACGGCGGAGGCTGCTACATACGGGCTGAATGAATGAATGAACCAATAAATGAATGAATGAACCAAAGGCGTCTCAGTTATTCCTCCCAGCCGGCCGCTGAACGAGGCCTTCCCACTTCTTTTTTTTTTTTTGAGTTGGAGACTCGCTCTGTCACCCAGGCTGGAGGGTAGTGGCTGCTCCCGGCCACCGCAGCCCCGACCC